TACTGAGTAGCATAGTTGGATCGTGCGTTTTATTACCAAGCTCACCCAATTAATAGCTTGAAAAGCCATTGCAATTTTTAGGCGACATGGATGAATGCCCTGTATGGAGCATATGAAACGGCACTGTGATCAAAGAGCAATAAAGAAAAGATAAGAACATGGAGGCAAGTAATTGCATCTATCTATCGCACGTATAAACGCATGACTACGTTTACTGGATACTTCTGCAAAAGTAACGGGTGTAGGTTAAGGCCGTGTTTTTACATCAGCGTGTCGCCGTAATGTTGCTAATTTACCGGACCCATTCGTGGCGTTCAGTGCTTACATGAGCAATGCATGTAAAGTTAATATAAGTATCATAATCGGAGCGCAATAATCACCTACGCAACTGTGATGCATTTGATGTGTTAACCCATGCAAAGGTAAGCTGCGGAACAGGGCTACCTATGTCCCATAGGGAGACGTTAACCTTGCGAGGATTGCAACGTATGTCCTCGGCTGCATGAGCTTCTAGGTACGATGGTTTATTACCACACTTAGGTCCCATGAAATGTGCGATAATATTAACAATATGGAAACAATAGGCGTACATGAAACTCGGTGGCGTCACCAAGTTAAAGCAATCCAAATGAAAGCGATTTGGTTCACATGCAGTTCGTAATGGTAAAGAATTCGGGACACAAGCGTTTTAATGGGTGTTCGCACGGAAAAAGGGGTTGCTTTCTGAGGGGTGCTCTGGGGTTTAAGTTAGCCGTTAGACAGCAAATCGGCTCGGATATACCAGGGTTTACTGGCTTAGAGCAGAAGACTGCACGTGGCAATACTGTGCCGATAGAAACACAGCTGTGACCTAAGAGGTTTTGAAAATTATTTGGTATCCGTTTGTCATTAAAGGAAACCGTGTTGCGCACTGCTTTGCGGGCAGGCGGCAGATGCAGCGCATATAAATATCCGGTTACCGCGTTGAAGTTCATGCTTTTGCACAGCTGCAACAGGTTAAGCGAGGAGGCATTTGTTGGGCTTAAACGATAGTGTTGGAGGCAACAGCGCTGTGTGGTAAAGTGCTATCTGATATACAGCGGTGGAAGAAAATGGTTTCGAAACTAAAGATACCGGACGCAATAAAGGTGACCGACGTTGTAAGCATTCCTAAATATTCAGCATTAGGTTAGTGAGCGTGTATGTAGCTCGGAACCCACCAAGGAGGAACACTCAGAAATGGTTTCGGCAGCCTCATAAGAGGCCACCAGGAGAGCTCAAACGCAGTGTAAACCGGACATGGGATAAAAGAACGCGTTACGTATCATAAACATGTAATTTGGTTGTAAAGAATGCGTACAAGCAATCACAGGGTGTGTAAAGTAGGTGGTGCTGTATAGACGTATGGCATCCTGCATTAGTCTGCAAGCGACAGGTCCGTCAGAGCAGTCCTACATGCGAAGTGAATATGCTCGTCCTAAAAGCCGCAAATGACCGAATAATACCTTAGCCTGAGGTGCGACTAAGTGTTTATACTTTGTCACACGTTACATAGAGGCAGACAAGTAGTCACGGATTTCTTATGTATGCACCACGGATTGACGGAGGTTCTAAAAGCAAAAAGGTGAACAAGCTAGCCGAACAACCTCCTCGTGGTGTCAGCTGGGTGGTTCGGGTTTAACACGTTCCAGCAAATAGTTCGGCGGCAGTGTTCCAGGACGTGGTGGGTTTCGCCTGGCAAGCGTTCTCCCTATAAAAAGCCACAAATGTCTGCTTAACAACACTGACGTGGTGGTCGTGACTCGATACAAAATAAAGTCACTGCCCCGTGGATATCCGGATAATTCTATCCAACCCATGGACACCAATCTCCTACTCGCATATTGATGACGATGGCAAACACGGAAGATTGGAGCAGCACAACTACAAGCACAAAACACACAGCTGCATACACATACACACACAATGACATATATACACACCCCGTACACAAACTGCTATGGCAAACATATCGGATTTTCGCATATTCTTGATCATGCATCGTTATGTCAAAATGATCATGCCTGTAAAGGTATGCCTCACCTTGTTGAGAATAAAAGATTTATTTATTTATTTATGACGGAAGACGTCTGCTCTACCACATTCATTACTGTAAGGGACGAGCTAGACTGACTATTTACAACTGCGTGATGCTGCCGCCCGGTCAGGTTTATGAAAGAGCTCGATGTAGCCGTCGAGACCTCTTCGGGCAAGCCCACTACATTACTAGGGCATCGATAGAAGGCCCACTTCAAGGCGCCAAGTCCATTCCCAACAACTCAGATGCCCTGTCGCAATCGGTCATGAAGATGGAGAATTGCCACATCACATTGAAACAAAGGAACTATGAGGCAGATGTAGGCTCCTCAACTACCCTACAATATATCGTCGGTGCCCTACCGAAGCCCCTGCAGTACAGACGGTCCGAAGTCGTCAGTCAGCTAACGCTTAGTGGTCATAAGCCCAGTTTTCTGAAGTTAACCACATTTGTTACATCGCGGGCACGCATAGCCCGCAGCCGGTTCGGACAGTTAGACGATCGATCACCCCGTGGTGTCGAAACGACTGTTACGAGAGCTCCTCCAAGGAAAGAGTATCCGGCGATAAGTAGCCATTACGCTGGTCAGAGAACTACGTCACCTGCCCGCCCCACCCACTCTTGCCTCGTTTGTTCGGACAACCATTTGGCCGTGGAGTGTGGAATATTTATAGAACTGGACCTATCGCAACCATAAAAAATGTTAAAACCAATAACCTCTGTTTTGGTTGCTTAAGACCGAGCCATATCGCCAAAAACTGCGGTATTCGCCGACACTGCAATGCCGCTGGTTGCCAATCTCTTCAGCACAGCCTGCTGCATGGTGGCGAAGCCCCCAAGTTAACTCACGCAGTATCCACAGATCAGACTCGCTGCTGGAAGCCAGGTATACTAAGAGCTGGAAGCAAGTAGCCCACAGAACCACAAATATATTAAAAAGAGATGTCAGGAGGGTGTGCCACCTGGAGGGCGATACGTAGCAGCGTTTACGTCTGGCTTGGAGTGCTGGGCGGTAATCATGGAAAACGGATTTCACCCAAGCGCTTCGGTGCCCACAGACGCCCACGAACGGCGCTTGGTGAGACTCATGGAAAACGGCCCCTGCCAAGACGCTCTCGTGTGGTTGTGTTGCTTTCCCTTCTGTTTTTTCAAGGAGCGCTACTGTAGGCAGTTGTAGGACCGAGAGCCAGAGTAGAGTCGGGGACGTACGAGACGCCAATCGCAGAAGAATTTCGGAGGCAGTGTAACGCGCTTATTTACCCATGAAATTCTTCTACTCTTCGCTTCGTAGTCTAGTCTATAGGCCTGGGCCGATCGCTGATGGACATCGACCAGCTTTCACGTGTGTCTGTGTGTGCATGCTAATCACCGGCACTGGTTCCATGCGTGTGTGTCTACCGACGACCTTGGATCTCCAACCATACTCCTCGCTGAACAGGACACGTTCAGCCCGGACATGTTTCGCACCCCTCCCCCATTCACTGGTCGCTTGTCCAAACACCATGTTTATGCATGCCATTAAACTCTCACCCCGTGATTGGAGTATCCATTGATTGGTCAACACCATTAGTCTTAATATTCGTAGCACTCAGGTGTGGTGATTTGCTCCCTTTATTGTCCGGCGTAAACAACCCGTCCCTCCTATTGTTTACTGACACCTTGTGTCAACTTGCATACACCGGGATACTGAACAATTGAAGTACGTCCCAATTATCAACTGTATATATTTTAATAGTAGCGTAGTATTTGTTATCCGACTTGGTTTGAGTTCGGGATCTTTGGCTACGCGTTATTCAACGTTCACGGTGGACGTTACACAAGTTCAAGTTCAGATGGGACTGGAACGATAGAAGAATCCCGTGGGTGTTCCATTTTGAGTGGATCGTTGAGCCAGGAATGGATGAAGTGTTCAGTTATTGATGGATCTAAAACGGAAACACCCGTATCGCACCCTGGCCAACCAGTTAATGCCCACGTTCCCTTCCCTAACAGTCCCGGCCGTGGCAGTCACGTGAAGTAAGCAAAAGCTAAAAAGAGATGTCGAAGGTACATAATATAGAAGTGCACTTTAACTAAGAAAAGCATACCAATGCGTGAAGAAAAGTAGAGAAAAATCGAAGTGCGAAGATGTGAGTTACTCAGGAAAATGGAAAGAGTTCGTTTTGCCACCCAGGAGCGTCAAGTTGCCGCTCAAATACCTTAACCGTACATTCCCTGATAACACTTTCCGGAAGCATGTTCCAGTGCTCGATAGCTCGGAGGGAAAGCCGGATTTCCGCCCTAATCCGATCCGACTGCGGTTTGTCCAGCTTCAAGGAATGACCGCGTAGAACCGACCATTTAG